GGGAGGTCCTTCAGTGACATCTTGTGATTATTGATGACCTGCTGGCCCAGTAAGGTACCTGGATAGGAGACATTCTGGTACACATATGAAATCTGCTGGGAGTTCATTGGAGGAAGAGCAAGGTATATGATTTGGTAAGGGCCTTCAGACTTGGGGGCCCAAACCACCTGTGGGCCACCCCTAATCTAGAGTTTCACAACCTGGAAATGTTTGATGACCCAAATTAAAGCCTGCCTTCAATGTAAACTCAAAAGGACATGCGAATCTGCCTATAACAGATCAGACTATTTGTCCATCTAGCTCCAGAATGGGGAACCTCAGGCCCAGAGACCCAATGTGGTCCCTCCAGGTCTTTCTGCATGGCCCTAGGAACTCTCCCCCCAGACCACCTGATGCTCCACCCACTTTTGCTTCTGGCCCCTCCCACCCTCGGAATGTAGCATCCCTGGAAGGCTGCCTCAAAGGAGATTCCGTCCCCAGACTGAAAAATGTTCTCCACCTCCGGATTAGCCCAGCATTTCCTATTGTCGACTAGCTCAATGGCAAAGAAAGGTGTTCCCCAAATGTTCTGAACCCCTGGCCTACCTGGTGGCAAGTCAATATGTCAAGTCCAAAGTTTGGGGGTCAATCTCTGCAAGCTAAGTCCAAAGTCCAGGAAACACACTCCAGGGTCTGTTCAGGTAAGCCAAGTCCACCAGTCAGGATACAGTCCGGAGTCCCCTAGAGGTCCAGGGGTGTCCAAGCCAAGGCCCATCAACATGGGTTGTTGAGCAGACCTGGCACCTCAGCTCTGCTTCCCATTTTTACTTCGCTTGTTAATTGCAGCATCTGGGCTTGATGAGACATGTGACCCTCACCTGTTCTGAGCCTACTCCAGCTAAGGAATCACACATCTCCTCCCAAAGCTAGCAAGCCCCACATGGCCAACTGGTGAGCTGGGCTTTGTGCCCTTGCCTGCCTCCGCCTCCTAGAGCACCCCTCCTGCTGCTCCCTATGCCTCAGAGCCTGCTGTATTTGCGGAGACAGGGACCCCTATGGCTCTGGTAATGGGTCCTGCTGCTCTGGTTCCCCTCACCACCCTATGTCACTCCATGAGTACTTCTTTCCCCATCCCCTGCTTGCCCTGGTATGTCCCAGTCCCGGCTACACCCCATGCTGGGATCCTGTTCCTTCTCTTCCTCCTCCCCGTCGTCCTACCAGTTCATGACACCAACACCGGGTTCCTGGTCCCCTTTAACAAGAGCTACCAGGGCTTCAAGGGACGCGGGTGGTGCTGTGGGTTGAACCACAGAGCCTAGGACTTGCCGATCAGAAGGTCGGCGGTTCGAATCCCCACGACGGAGTGAGCTCCCGTTGCTCGGTCCCTGCTCCTGCCAACCTAGCAGTTCGAAAGCACATCCAAGTGCAGGTAGATAAATAGGTACCGCTCCGGCGGGAAGGTAAATGGTGTTTCTGTGCGCTGCTCTGGTTCACCAGAAGCGGCTTAGTCATGCTGGCCACATGACCCGGAAGCTGTACGCTGGCTCCCTTGGCCAATAAAGCGAGATGAGTGCCGCAACCCCAGAGTCGGCCACGACTGGACCTAATGGTCAGGGGTCCCTTTACCTTTTACCAGGGCTTCAGCATGGGGCATGCTACACGCAGAGCATGTCTTCTGCCACTGAGATGCAGATCTTCCCTTATGAAGCGTCAACAATCCTTAAACACCTATGATTCAGAGACCCTGATTCAGAGCCACAGACAAAGCCCAGTCATACCCCATTAATATCTCTAGCAAACAAAAAACTAAATATTTCTGGGGATGCAACCGGGCTAAATAAGTCCAGGCCATGAAATTGAACATTTCAGATTCATGTCTTGTGCATTACTACTGAGCACTGCCTAGAAGCTTCAACCATAATAAGCTGGGGCTAATTTCCCACTAATGGTACTTTGGTCTTACAAAAGCAGGTCCTTTTTTTCATTCTGGAGTCAAATATTGTTATAGGAAATGCTATAGGACCTGGCCCTAGAACTCTAAAATCAATCTAAACCCATTAAAACGGTGTTTTTTGTTCTCTCTGTCCCTTGGGAAAAAAAGCTACTTTGTCATTTTATCTTAGCCAAATAGGGTGGAAAGAATTAATTTCATTATACAGAACAGAACAGGATTTCATTGGATTAAACCCAAGGACTTTCAATGTGCTTTTTAATATCTGCAGAATTGCACTGCCCTTTCACATTTGTAAAATATTCGCGCACAAAAGATCTCCAAACCCATCCCTATTCCCAACAGTGGCTGAATTTGCCATATCACAGTAAGCCGATGCTGGGGGAACTCCAGTTTCATAAGCCCACCAGATCTCCTCACTTGGCACAGAGTGTGGTTTAGCCAAAGCCATGCCCGGCAGGTTTACAACAGGTAAACCTGCAGTGCCAAGCCGAAAAGGGAGAATCAGGAGCACACCCTGAGAGCCTTTTTCTGTTGCTCTGTGGTAACGAAAATAGTCGTCAGATTCAAAAAGCGGCGAATTACAGCTGAACAGGAAGAATGGCGAGTGCATTCTGGCTCTGTACACAACTTCCAGCTTTAAAGCACATGCAAAATACAATCTTTCCCTCAAAGAACTCTGGGCATTGTAGTTTGTTAAGGGTTGCTGGAAGTTACAACTCTGTGAGGGGCTAAACTACAATGTCCATAATTCTTTGAGGGGAGGGTATGTTTCAAACGTGCTTTGAAGGTAGAGCGTACACACAGCCTTGAGACTGCATTCATAATTCTTCTGCAGCCTCAACTTAAATTCAAGTCTTGGCTGCAAAGGAAGACTCTTTGCAGCACTGGCTTATGTTTATGTCTTTATTATTTATTATTAATTTTTGAATAATGCCCTTCATCTGATTTCACAGGCTGCAGAGGGTTGCCGTATGTCCTCTTTTTCTAGGACACGTCCTCTTTTTCATGGGTATGTAAAATGAGAGTCGACATAGCAATCCATAGTTAAAAGTAGTACAGTGGTACCTCGGGTTAAGTACTTAATTCGTTCCGGAGGGCCGTTCTTAACCTGAAACTGTTCTTAACCTGAAGACCACTTTAACTAATGGGGCCTCCTGCTGCCACCGTGCTGCCGGAGCACGATTTCTGTTCTCATCCTGAAGCAAAGTTCTTAACCTGAAGCACTATTTCTGGGTGAGCGGAGTCTGTAACCTGAAGCATATGTAACCTGAGGTACCACTGTAGTTGGCAAATGTGCCCTCTTTTTTGCTCTTCAAAACATGGCAACGAAGAGTGGTAGCTTCAACGGAAGCATTGCAGATATACTCCTAATTCTTCCTAGGCAAGGCTTAGGCTCAAAGTAGAATCCCATTTTACGCTCCTTCAGTAAGTCATGAATCATGGGCTATTGTGCATGAGCCAACTGTGTCTGCCTGGACCCCCCCCCCCAACAATGGAGAGAAACAATTCACAACCCCTGATTCAGCATTATATCTGATTCAGGGACTGTGGCTTGTTTTCCCCTTAACACACCACAATGGTAAGCCAAGTTGATCTTTGCTCATAAACCATGGTTTGCTTGAAAGAAACTAACCACGGTTCCATGATCCAGGTGCAATGCTAAGCATTGATTTGTTTCCTCCAAGCAATAGTGGGGAGGAGCAAAACTGCCCAGACTGGCTCGGTTACGGGAAACCATTAGGTGTGACATGAGAATTGGGTCATCATTTTAAAAAGAAGAAGTCTTAAACGTTTTAAAAGCACTTTTGGGTGTCTTGCACATTTTCTTCTTCATAACTGTGAAACCCCCGTAGATTTGCCCGTATCCAAGTTTAGACTGCAAGAACTTTGAAACAAAGACGTATCCTATTAGACGGCGAGACCTGTGTAAATTCCCTGCACGTAAACAGATGAACAAATCGTAACACACCCCAATTATGGCTGATGAACCTATATTGTGGATTCCGAAGAAAAGGTTTAGATTTAAAAGGCAAGCTTTTAAGAAGCAATGATTATCAACTATATATTGGAGAATCAACACGGCTTTCATTTCAAAAGGCAAGAAGGTTGCAGGTCAAAGTTATGCGTCTCCTCTACAGCACAGCCACAATAGAATCTGCTTAAAACCCTGAAACCTTATCTGTAAGAACCAGGCAACTAAAACTAACAGCACCATCTTAAGGCAAAAAATAGAAGCGCACACTAAGCAGGAAAAGAGGACGCAGCTTTATGGAGGGTCAGGCTAACAATCCGTCTTGCTCAGCACTGTTTATACCCAAGGTAGCCAGAGTGGGGCCTTCCACATGGGGTTGACTTCCCATCAGCCCTAGCATGCCCCATGGGCATAGCTCAGTTGGCAGAGAATGAGACTGGAGTCAGGGCTGGAGTCCTTCCATCCCATCCTTGGGGCTGGTCCTGCACCACCAACCAAGAACATACACAACAGCATAGCTGTCAACTTACAGATTTGAAAATAAGGGACCAGCGGCCATGATCGTATAGTGGTGAGTACTCTGTGTTGTGAAAATAAGGGACCAGCAGCCTCAGAAATAAGGGATCAGCAGCCAAAATAAGGGATCGACAATTACTTTGATAAAATACATATTTTGTTGTGTGCAAATGGCTTTAGATACCTATTAGGTCCATAAATTACCATATAGCATATATTCAACACAAAAAAGCAACAATTTGTTGTTGACAAAGGACAACTGGACATAGAAAGGGCCCCATTACCTTCAGTAGCTTATTTAAGGGACATCATCAATAAGGGACAGCAGCGGGACATGGCGCTGGGATAAGGGACTGTCCCACCAAATAAGGGACGCTTGACAGCTATGCACAACAGGGTCACTGTGTTTTGCACTATCGAGCTAGCGTGAGAAGCAACCACTTAAAAGCACCTTAAACAAAACTCGAAACCAAAGCTGGTAGGACACACACTATCTACTTAATTTCCTGCTGCATGAAAAGGAAATGGCCCCGAAACCCAGAACACCTTCCCAAAAGTTAACAACAAAGAGTTCCTTACTTTTTCTTGATCTGGAGAAGAACTTTATGCCCCCGGGAGAAGTGGATGCGTTGGAGCTAGGAGAGGAAGAGTCTTTGGAAGACGACCGGAAGATGCCGCTGAAGCTCATGCGCCGAGGGGAGCGAGGGGGAGACTCCTGGTAGGGGAAGGGGAACACTGTTTTGGGCGAGCCGGGACTGTGCTTGGATTTGACGGGGGCAGAGGCTGGGCTGGAAGGCCGGTTCTGGAGCCCCTTTGGGAAAAGTCCTTTGGAAGGACTCCCTGTGTTGTAGCTGTCTTCCGCCTGCAAGGGAAAGAGAAAGGGGCAATAATTTTTAACAAAAAAAAATATTATTCCAAGGCAGACCTCTGTCAAACCATTGACCTAATGTGCATCTACCTGCAGTGAATCTGCTGCAATAACATATTGCCTGCCCTTCTCTTAAAATTATCTTTTGCTGGACTAGCCAAACACTAGCATCTTTCCTGTGTTGGAAAGGCTGTGGAGAGATATGCTCATATTTTTATGCATGGTGGAGTCGCACATTGGTAAACATCTTTTGGGGGGAAAAGTTGTTTCTCATTATTTCCAAAATTACACAGCAATCCCTTCTGCCCAATTCAGGTCTTGCCTTGTTATCATTAGTCTCAAATTGAAAGAATAACATTAAATGCAGAGATATAGTAATTTTTCCTATTATCAGCCGTCCGATTAACAACAGCCCGATACTGTAAACAACTTAGAGAAACCCCACTGAAATCTGATTAAATATTTGGAATGTGGCTCTATCTCGCTACGGAAGGGTAATTAAAGGCAGTTCAAGGATTGACACTTTTGGTGAGACTTGGCTTCCATTCTTTGCCTTTATAAATAGAGACAGAAGGTACTTTTATTCCACCCTCAATGCAAGAATCTCTGCGGAGAGGCTACTTGAAATGATAATGCATAAATAAACGCAATGCTTGTGAATTGTGTACTGCATATGAAACCTAACGAAAATGTACCACTGGGCGAGTTAATGTTGTTCTTCTATTGACATGAAAACCAATAAAAATTACAGTGGTACCTCGGGTTACATACGCTTCAGGTTACAGACTCTGCTAACCCAGAAATAGTACCTCGGGTTAAGAACTTTGCTTCAGGATGAGAACAGAAATCGTGCTCTGGCGGCGCGGCGGCAGCAGGAGTCCCCATTAGCTAAAGTGGTGCTTCAGGTTAAGAACAGTTTCAGGTTAAGAACAGACCTTTGGAACGAATTAAGTACGTAACCAGAGGTACCACTGTATTTGGGAGGGGGGAATATTATCTGCCCAACACTGCAGGTGGTCAGAAAACAGAATTAAAAGTCAAATCCCACCTTCTTCTAATGAAAAGTTAAAATGCAGGCTCTCAATGGGTGACAAGGAGGACTCACTACCAACATAGGAAGACAATACGCTACTTTATACCGGTCAGCCAATTTGTCTAGCTGGTCCAGTGCTGCTGAACTTTGACAGGAAGTCCATCTCCATGGCCTTGGGGAAGAAGTCTCACCACCGTCACCTCTGACTTGATCTTCTAAATTTGGGACTGGACTTATGACCTCTTGCATGGAAAGCTTGAGAAATGATCCATCTCGGTCCCAACAGTTGCCATTTGTGGATGTGGAAAGAACGGGCAGTTTCTGGGATCCTGGTTAATGACATAAAATTCTGCCGCAACGGCCAACAAGACAAGCCATGCAGGTTTTTTGGGAAGGTGAACTGCGACAGTGGTGAGCTTGGGTCAGAGCAGAAATCTATGCCTTCTTAGACCTCCTACCTTCTGACCAAAGAAGAGCTGTTTTGCCTCACATGCACCACCCTGAGAGCTGATACAGTGGTACCTCGGGTTAAGTATTTAATTCGTTCCGGAGGTCCGTTCTTAACCTGAAACTGTTCTTAACCTGAAGCACCACTTTAGCTAATGGGGCCTCCTGCTGCCACCACGCCACTGGAGCACGATTTCTGTTCTCATCCTGAAGCAAAGTTCTTAACCCAAGGTACTATTTCTGGGTTAGCGGAGTCTGTAACCCGAAGCGTCAGTAACCTGAAGCGTATGTAACCCGAAGTACCACTGTAATGGCTTTTTATTGTATACAACATGCAGCAACAGCTGTTTTTAAAACTCACAATTATATTTTAACCGGAATATAACAGTATTCCCTTTAATTGGACTGAAACGTGCTCATACGTTATAACAATCTTGGTCCTAGGGAGGGCGGGAAGCAATTACGCTGATATTAATGGCATGTACCATCTCAATTGCTTTATGGCTACAGCCATTAGCCTGGGGGAATGAGGGGAGAGACCTGTAGTTTACTCTTGATGCTGCAGCAATTGTTCCAGTCAGAGCACCTCAAGCGAGATAATTTGATTAATTATTTACCTTAATGACAAGGGGTAAAGAAAACATTAAAGCAGAAGATGAGTGTAAATATATATACACACACACACATATCTGCTTCCCTATTGGCAATTCATTTAATCAATTTTTCCTTCTCTGAGCTTATCTGACAGGATCCAGACCTCAATAAAGAACACATACACAAGTACCCATGACTTCCAACGATACCCAGCCCATTCTTGATACCCCGGCAGCTACAGAAGCTCAGCTGCAGAAACCAAATCCTGTTTAAATATTAGTCAAGAAGGAAGGCAGTGGGGCCTCTGGCATCCTCAGATGTTCCACAGGCTGAGCAGCAGAGGGCGAAGGGAGCATGTGGAACCAAGTGCAAGCTGAAGGAGGAAACTCCACAAAACCAACCATTTGCCAGGGACCTCCATGCACAGGCGTTAGTCTGCAGAGCAGCTACGAATGATCAGCCCCACACCGAACTTCTCCACACAAGGCACGTGTGGCGATGCATAACTGAATCTGGGATCCATAGCTAAGCTCCAGGCCCTTGCTACTCAGGGCGTTATTCTTATTATTGCCCCCAGAGTACACAAGTGCTTTAGAAAGCCGCAAAAGCAAGACAGACGGAAGAGCTTGGAGTCTAGATTTTGGCACCAGAGGTCTTTCCTTATGCCTCCACCTGAAAGCTCATTTAAACAGACAATACTGCCATGCACCTTTCAATGCAGTAATTATTATTATTATTATTATTATTATTATTATTATTATTATTATTTTGTGTTTTCCTGCATTTGGGTGTTTATATTTAATTGTGTGCTTTCTTCTGAACCATAAATCTTTTCTATTATTTTCAGGGAAAGAACAGGATTTGTTTAATAAAGATTTAAGAAGAAAATAAAGTACCCAATGAAGTGATGAAGTGAGGGACAGATGTATTGTAACAAGCAGCACCATGCATGGTTTGAACGGCAGCATTCCTTATGGAAAATCCACAGCTAAGTACAAACATTAACTCAAGTCTCCACATTTTAGGCAGAATTTGCTGATCCAGAGTCTCTACATGGAGACGAGAGAGAGCGCTTTTTTTCTATTAAAAAATTGTTAGGGGTACTCTGATTTTCCTACTCATATTGAGGCCAAACTTATTCACAAAATGTTTTGGGGTATGTGTCCCCTGCGCCCCCCTAGAAAAAAGCACTGTATGTATATGTATATGTATATGTATATGTATATGTATATGTATATGTATATGTATATGTATATGTATGTACATACATACATATACAAACACACCTCTAAAACTACTTTTACTCATCTCCTTGAATTTCTTTTCCCCTCCACCTTTTCTTCTTAACTTATACTTTGTTTCCCCTCCCAAAAACTTATATTCACTTCCTCCTCTCATTATCTCATTCCTTTCTATTCCCATGTCAGTTTAAGAACAGCCCTGTTTATGAACTATTTGGTTTACAAACTCCGCAAAACAGTGTCCCGGTTTGCGAACTTTACCTCGGTCTAAGAAGGAATCCGAACGGTGGAAGGGCACCAGCGGCAGGAGGCCTCATTAGGGAAAGTGCGCCTTGGTTTAAGAACGGTTTTGGCTTCCGGAACAGATTAAGTTCGTAAACCAAGGTACCAACTGTATTATTATTTTAAATTATTAACCTTTTACCTCATCTCCTAATTCCCTTCAACACTTTCACTGACTTCCAAGGCCATATCTGACTCCTGGGCCTGAAGCAAGTCTGTGGTGCCAAGGTCACGTGGCCCCCTGTTTGACTAAACCAACTGGCAGTGGCCTCTCCAGGGTTCAGACTGGGGACATTCCCAGCCCTATCTGAAGATGCCAGGAATCGAACACGGGGCCTTCCACGTGCACAGAGGATGCTTTAACACTTTAACAACCCTCCCTGATATGAAGAAAAATTCTTTCCCTTAGAAGAACAGGCCCGGACACATGGGAGTTCCTTATTTCCTTCAAGCAAAGGGAGCGACGGCGCATACCAGATTAAACTAAACGATATGCTATCGGTCTTCATGTCAAGGTGCAGTTAGATTAGTGTCATTTGAGGCGAGGGAATTTCTGCCCGTGGTATACCGCTGCAGAACGTAGCTCACGTCTCTCCAGATAGCTTTATCAGACTGTACATACCTCCTCAGAGGCAAATGCAAGATTAAATGGGCTGTTAGTGTGTGTCAGTGTGTTCTGCATCTGGCTGGGGTTTGGGTAAGGACATAAGGCGACGGTGTTTTCAGTCCTGTCCTGAGTTTGGTGTGTGATCAGCGCAGCTTCTGTTGTTCTACGGTTCAGCTTCCACTCAAACCTACATCACCATCCCCTCCAACATTTATCCGATGAAAATAGGGACCTTCTATACCTAGACAGCATCTTAAAAAGTACCTAGACAGCATCTTAAAAAGTAGATACATCACCTTGCCAACAAAGGTCCGTATAGGTAAAGCTATGGTTTTCCCAGTAGTGATGTATGGAAGTGAGAGCTGGACCATAAAGAAGGCTGATCGTCGAAGAATTGATGCTTTTGAATTATGGTGCTGGAGGAGACTCTTGAGAATCCCAAGAAGATCAAACCTCTCCATTCTTAGGGAAATCAGCCCTAAGTGCTCACTGGAAGGACAGATCCTGAAGCTGAGGCTCTAATACTTAGGCCACTTCATGAGAAGAGAAGACTCCCTGGAAAAGACCCTGATGTTGGGAAAGATGGAGGGCACAAGGAGAAGGGGACGACAAAGAACGAGATGGTTGGATAGTGTCTTCGAAGCTACCAGCATGAGTTTGACCAAACTGCGGGAGGCAGTGGAAGACAGGAGTGCCTGGCGTGCTCTGGTCCATGGGGTCACAAAGAGTCGGACACGACTAAACGACTAAACAACAACAACATTCTCCGTCAGGAAGCTTCTCTCGTGTTTGATCTCGCCACACACATAGACGTCCTATATACATCTGTCACCTTAAGCCAACTTCACTGCCTCAACCTACCTCGCAGGATTGTCGTAAAGAAAAAATGTGTGAGGGAAGGGATCCTGCGCAACACCTTCCGCAGATAAACGAAACGAAAGTTTTAGCAGCAAGCTAAAACTGCCAGCCGGCAGTTAAGTCTGGAGGAGCAACAGAACCTTGTGTTATAACCACCATTTTCAAACTCACAGCAAGGCTAAAAATGTCACAAGCTGGGCTGGGGAGGAAGAAATGAGTCAATCAGTATTTGCAATAGGTCTTCCCCAGGAGGTACCAACGCAATCTCATCTGCCTACAGAAACACTCTCACCAAGCGACACATAATTTGCCCTTTAGGTTTGAAAGTTACAGGCATACCTCGGAAATATTGCAGGTTCGGTTCCAGGCTACCACAATAAAGCAAATATCGCAATAAAGCAAGTCACACACATTTTTGGGGTGTGAATATAGAAGTTCTGTTTACACTATACTGTAGTCCATGGGTAGGCAAACTAAGGCCCAGGGGCCAGGGCCAGCACAATCGCCTTCTAAATCCGGCCCACGGATGGTCCAGGAATCAGCGTGTTTTTACATGAATAGAATGTGTCCTTTTATTTAAAATGCATCTCTGGGTTATTTGTGGGGCCTGCCTGGTGTTTTTACATGAGTAGAATGTGTCCTTTTATTTAAAATGCATATCTGGGTTATTTGTGGGGCATAGGAATACATTCATTATTATTTTTCAAAATATAGTCCGGCCCCACACAGGGTCTGAGGGACAGTGGACCAGCCCCCTGCTGAAAAAATTGGCTGACCCCTGCTGTAGTCTATTAAGCCAGGCTCCCTAGCCAGCTCAACTCCTGTAGCCAAAAGTGTGGGTCTTCCTCCCCCTGGAAGCAGCTGGGCTGCCTGCAGCTGTACCCGTGTCCTCATAAGGAGCAGTATCTGCGAAGCACAATAAAACTGCACGTGCATGTACAAGATTGAATCAGGCACTCTCCAATCTTTGGCAGAAAATTATATTTTCATCTGCAGACGAGAAGCAATAATTCCTCATCACTGATGGTAGAGGCGGCGACCCCAAAACATTTAAAGTGCTGTAATGTAGCTTCACTTAAGAACCGGGGTTTTTCTTCTTCTCAGGCAATCATATTCTACACTCCTAAAGTGTGTCGTGCTTAATGCTTCATTGTGAAAGGTGTGAGTCAGCTCCGCAGAATTTAAAATGGATCTCTGCTTACTAAGGCAAAGGGTTTTGTGAAACGTTAACAGCCAGAAAGACGCGTTCCTGGCATTTTTCTTGAAGCTGTCCCAAGAGGTGAAATATCGCAAGAGTAGCAGACTTAACAACAAAGCTCTTCCCCTGTCCTTTCTGCCCAAGGGGAGGCAAAAGAGGAAATAATAGCTTGCTCCTAATATGCTGGAAAACAATGAATTCTGCAAACCGTGGTTTGCCCCATTCAGACACAAAAATAATATTTGCCAACAACTCAGTTCTGAATTGGCAGTGTGCAGAGAAGGAGATCATATCCCCATATACTGCGGCTGTTCATACATGTAACGCCAAACCATGGTTTAGCATTGCATCTGAATGCAATGCACTGTCTGTGTTTGAGCTATTTGTTTTGGGCTGCCTGGCAGTTGCATTTCGTACCTTCTAAACCACTTTGAGTGGGCTTTTGCCTCTCCTGGAGGGATTTTAGCTTGCTAAAGGGTCTGTTCACACGTCCAAGGTGAAAAAGTTATAGCAAGGCCACGCCTCCATTTTCCTCACACAGCAAGCTGGTCCTGTGCAAGCGCCTCCCGTGGAACCAGATCCACAGGTCAGGATAAGGGTGCCATAAAGGTAAAGGTAAAGGTAAAGGGACCCCTGACCATTAGGTCCAGTTGTGGCCAACTCTGGGGTTGTGGCGCTCATCTCGCTTTATTGGCCGAGGGAGCCGGCGTACAGCTTCCAGGTCATGTGGCCAGCAGGACTAAGCTGCTTCTGGTGAACCAGAGCAGCACACAGAAACGCCATTTACCTTCCCGCCGAAGCGGTACCTATTTATCTACTTGCACTTGCTTTCGAACTGCTAGGTGGGCAGGAGCTGGGACCGAGCAACGGGAGCTCACCCCGTCGCGGGGATTCGAACTGCCGACCTTCTGATCGGCAAGTCCTAGGCTCTGTGGTTTAACCCACAGCGCCACCCATGTCCCAAGGGTGCCATAGAAGAGGCCTTTCCCCAAGACCACTTGACCACATCATCAACACGGAAGGGACAAAGGGACCTTGCAGAAACTTCCACTTAAAAATTTTCAGCTGAATCAGCCATATCTGGACAAACCAACATGGCCGACGTGAACTCAGTGAAACAGGTCTCTGAATTCTAGGAAGATTGATGGAAGCACCACCGGTTTTCATTAGCAAGAGATAGAAAGAAGACTCAGAAAGTCCTACCTTCCGTGAAGCATGCTTCTCTGCACTGTCCACGTCTCCATCCAAGAATGGCATGGCAAATGAGCTGAGATCCTAGGAGAAGAGAAAAAAGAAGGAAAATTATAATCTTTCAATTAAAGTTTCTAAAGGGCACACATACTAGAATAGAAATGCAATACGTAGTATGTAAAAGGAAGCTTCAGAAGTCATTTTATAAAATGAAAAGCAGCTCTGGGATTGTTAACGCCGAGTGGTGCAGTGGTGTGGGGGTCGCTTAACTTATTTGCTGGCTATTTATTCACTCCTTTGAGCAGTTTCATCCTTCCACTGTACAGTCCCAGGTAATACTTGCCTTCCCAAAGAGGCATTTGGCCTGCTATTCTATTCCTACTTACCTGGGAGGAGGGATGTCAGAGAATTCCATTGAAAATAGAAATGGGAGCGAAAATTGCCAACGTTCATTTTATTCATCCCACTCCTCCATCAGAACTCAATCCAGCCAATGCAATCAGTATTTGCTGCAGTTGTTGCTTTCAGTCCGTTAACGGTACATAACTGATCATGTGTCAATTCCCCACCAACTCGCATTGCACTGAAATGAACAGGGTGGAATACTGTAATGGCAACGCAACTTATGTACGAATTACGTGTATTACATAAGCTATGGAGTTTTGCCATAGCGAACAGCAAGACAAATAACACTGTGTGAAAGGCGAACTGCAGCAGAAGGGAAACAGTGCTTCATGGGCAGAACAGAAAAACGATGCCTTCTTACTTCTGTGGTTGAGAGTAAGGCCCATTGAACGCAGTGGAACTGATTTCAGCACTGCTGGAAACTGAAGAGTGGGGAAAACAGATGCCAGCCAATTTTGTGAAGAACTATGCCTCATGTGGAACATAGGAACCGCCCAGCTGAATTAGGCCAAAAGGCCCATTTTTTTCCAGCATTTTGTTTTCACTGTAGCCAAGCAGGACCTGAGTTGCGACAGCAGTCCTCTGCTCAAAAGAGCCCCCCCAGGAAGCAGCTTTTCATGACAGATGTTGGTGCTTAAATAAATAAATAAATAAAGTAATAAAGTAATATTTATATGCTGCTCATCTGCCTGAGGAGAGTCTGAAGAGCCCTGCCCTTGCCTCTCTCCACCTGGCTTGGGTCGGGGCCTGACAGGCTTCACAAGGACTGCGGCTGCTGCTCAGCAGAGCGGGCTCCTCTTTTAAATTGTTTTTAATCTCTATCCGTATTGTTTTAAATGAGACCATCTTGGCTGTAAGCCCTGAAAGACCTGCACCTTGCCTTGTTGGCCTTTCCCCATCTGGCCTGGGAGAGTGGAGTGCTGACTGACTCCAGCTACAAAAGCTGAGGCTGTTGAACAGATTCTTGGGCTGGAGTATTGTTTACAGGCGGTTGAGAGAGCTTGTTGCTGTTATTGATATTATTGTTGTATCTTTAGTTTTAGATCTTATGATTTACGCGGAAATTGTTTCCATTTGGTTGGGTACTTTTTTATGTGTTTTATTTATTGTTGATGAATTCTGTTATGTTTGTAATTGTGTAAATCTTGTCATGTTGTAAGCCGCCTTGAGCATAGTTTCAACTATGGAAAGGCGGCATACAATAAAATGATGATGATGATGGGTTGCCCCAGCCGCTCTAGGCAACTTCCAACAAATCAAAACACAGTAAGACATTCAACATTTAAAACTTCCCCACACAGCGCTGTCTTCAGATGTCTTCTAAAAATCAGATAGTTGTTGATCTCCTTGACATCTGACGGGAGGGTGTTCCACAGGGTGGGCGCTACTACCAAGAAGGCCTTCTGCCCAGTTCCTTGTAACTTCGCTTCTTGCAGCAAGGGAACTGCCAGAAGGCCCTTGGAGGTGGACCTGAATGATGGGGGTCTTTGTATGTACTTATATATAAGGGGAGCAGGTGGTGCTGTGGTTTAAACCACTGAGCCTCTTGGGCTTGCTGATTGGAAAGTTGGGGGTTTGAATCCACGTGACCTGGGTGAGCTCCCGTTGCTCTGTCCCAGTTCCTGCAAACCTAGCAGTTCAAAAGCATACCAGTGCAAGTAGATAAATAGGTACTGCCAGTGCTTTTTTTCTTAAAAAAATGTTTAGGGGTACTCTCATTTTGACTCAAGAAAATCACCATTTTATAGTTCAAATTGGGGAAAATAAATACAGTAAATGGACAAAAGATTCACAAAATGTTTAGGGGTATGCATACCCCTGCATCTCCCCAGAAAAAAAGCACTGGGGACTGCTGTGGTGGGAGGGTAAATGGCATTTCCGTGCGCTCTGGTTTCTGTCACGGTGTGTTCCATTGCGCCAGAAGCAGTTTAGTCATGCTGGCCACATGACCCGGAAAGCTGTCTGTGGACAAACGCCAGCTCCCTCAGCCTGAAGTGAGATGAGGGCCGCAACCCCATAGCTGCCTTTGACTGGACTTAACCATCCAGGGGTCCTTTACCTTTACCCTTTTTTACTTTTTTATCTATTTATCTATTTTCACCACACTTTTCTATATAGAATACCCAACACATCAAACAAAACTAAAACAACTAGATCATAAAATGGATTAACTATGATCCAAACCCACAGAGAAGAGACAGACAGACATAAACTATTTTCCAAAATATATAGTAGGTGAATCAGCTGTCACATAGAAACTCCGAGGGAATGAGATGCTAATAGCATTTTTAGATGAAAACCTATTGTCTCAACAGTAAACCTAAGATGTATGAATATGGCAAGTATGTGTTTGCAATTGCAGGTGTCGGGGAGGAAGTCTTGCCACGAAGCCAAGATAGGGAGACGTTCCTTCCACTGTATTAAACAGGGGACTTGCCTGTGCAATGTGTTAAGGGACATTAATCAGATTGCCAACTTAAAGAACCAACAGGAACACAGGGAAATGGAGAGGGGGGAATTCTATACTCCTTTATTTTATTTATTGCATTATTGTCCTGCCTTTCTTCCATGGAGCTCAAGGTGGATTACAGTGGTACCTCAGGTTACATACGCTTCAGGTTACAGACTCCGCCAACCCAGAAATATTACCTCGGGTTAAGAACTTTGCTTCAGGATAAGAACAGAAATCGTGCTCCGGCGGCGCGGCGGCAGCAGCAGGAGGCCCCATTAGCTAAAGTGGTGCTTCAGGTTAAGAACAGTTTCAGGTTAAGAACGGACCTCCAGAACGAATTAAATACTTAACTTGAGGTACCACTGTAACATAATTACAGTAATGATTCAAAAAACCACTGGTGATAGTAACACAAACCACCTGGCATTGGTGAACTTCATCTTATAATTCAGCAGTTTCATGCTAAAGTCTCCCTCTGAAGGTCTTCTGTTCAAGAATGATCACTTCAACATCAGTAACCTGAGGTACCACTGTATATTGTTTCCCCCCCTCCAAATTTCATCCCCACAACAAGCATGTGAGGTAGGCCAGGACAAGAGCAAGTGTCGTCACCCTGTGAGCTTCATGGCCAAGTGAGGATTCAAACCCTGGTCTCCTAGGTCTTAGTCCAACGCTCTAACCACTACACCACAGTGCCTCGCCAATTGTTTGTGAAAACGGAAATTCTTCCGAACATACTTGTTAAGACAGAATCATATAATCATTGAATAGTAGTGGTGGAAGGGACCCTGAGGGCCATCTAGTCCAACCCCCTGCAATGCAGGAATATCAACTATAGCATCCATGGCATTAAAAAGCAAGGAAGGAGAGTCCACTGTCTCCAGAGGGAGTCAGTTCCACTGCCAATGAGCTCTTACTTTCAGAAACCTCTTCCTGAAGTTTTAGCCAGAATCTCCTTTCTTGTAACATGAAGTCATTGGTTTCAATTCTACCCTCCAGAACAAGGCGAAAAACAAGCGTATTCCATCTTCCTTGTGACAGCCCTTGAGATATTTGAAGGTGGCTATTATATCTCCTCTCAGTCTCCTCTTTTCCAGGCTAAAGCTACCCAGCTCCTTCAACCATTCCTCATAAGTCTCATAAAAGTCTGAAGTAAAATCAGAAAACAGATAACATGGCTATCCTAGAGGCTTCAACACTTTCCCCAACCCGGTGCCCTCCTGATGTTTTGAACTCAAACTCCATTCATCCCTGACCATTGGTCATGCTGGCTGGCTGGGATGAGAGATGTTGTTCAAAGCATGTATTTCACGATGGGCAGGTCCATATTGCATTCAGGAAGGTGATTAAAATTTACCTGGGGTCAGGTCAACTTTTCCTTCACAGTTGTGAGACTGAATCCTTCAACGCTCTTCACTATTTTGGTTCCTTTTAGTCCCTAAAGCAGACAAAAGGTTCCTTATGGCCCTTCTCCACTCTACACAACAACTCTCTCTTTTCCAGAAAAGGGAGAACAGGAGATCTAAATCTACTCCTGCTCTCTCACACATGATACATGTTCTGCCCATCTTCTGAGTCAGTTAAAAGTAGCCCTGTTAATTCCAGCTCATTCTCTTTCTGGAAGGTTCTGGATTAGAATGCTCTCAAATGCAGAATGAGGGCAGGACCCTGATTTCCCTAGCAGCCTCTCTCTGCATACCCCAGTATCATATTCCCAAGGGTAACTCAATAAAACACAAACATTTGTTATACATAATATCACCGCTCGCAATCTTCAGACCTTGCAGGAAGCAGAAGATATTCAGAACAGAAGATTGCAATCGGTGCAACACTTCAAATTAAATTCAAAGGAGATGATCTCTTTGTGCCACCATTCAATATCTTTCCATTAGCAGGAGCTATGTTCTCGTTAAATTAATTAGCAATAATTAACAAAAGCCGGGGTAGCTAGGGTGGTATTTGCGCTGGTGATCAGACAGCTTTGAGTGATGCGAAGAAAATTACACTTATGAGACAAATATGCCCAAGTCATCTTTAATTAAGGAAAATAAACTGTAATTGCATTCCTGCCTCTGCTGCTTGCTCACTGCCGGATGGACTTTTGTGCTTATTAAACAATGTGCTGTTTTAGTATGTTGCTATATGGGGATGCGGGTGGCGCTGTGAGTTAAACCACAGAGCCTAGGACTTGCCAATCAGAAGGTCGGCGGTTCGAATCCCCGCGACG